ATTTGAATAAATTTTGTAAAAATTTTATAGAAAATAAAAGTACATGTCATATATCGACTATACATGCATAGGATTTTCATGTTTAGACAAAATACATATTTCATTAATAGATTTATTTAAAGAAACATAGCAAACCATCAGCAAAATAAATGCAAAGAAACAAATCTGTATAACTAATGCTCATTTATAAGAAGGTAAAGTGTACATATTGTAACCAATTAATGCTCAATAGTATGTTAAGTACATGATGCAGTATTTATTTATTGTGGTCATTTTAACGTAAGAATAATGTAATTTGTATGAATTTTTTAAAAATGTTTTTCAAAGCCAAATAAGTAATACGAGAAAGGTATGAATTATGAAATATTCATTGTAATATTTGGTAATTTAATAATTCCTTATAGGTTTCAATATTATGTACATAAATTCAGTTTTAGGTTTGTACATAATTTATTAAAACCAATATGGATCATGTAAAATTCTAGCTGTCTTTTGTTGTTTTGGCGAATAAATTCTTATACTTCTTACGTCTTATAATGTCTACTTGACCTAAACTTATCATGTCTTCTTCCCATTTCATAAGATTTTCTTTATACTGATCCATTAATTTCTTTGCTTCATTTACGTATACATGCCTTTCTGCATCTGGCAATTTGGTCCATTCGTTTGTTGTTATAGATAACCATTCCTAAATAAAATGAAATTATTCGTATTAATAATTACTATTACACAATTTGCATGTATTTGTTATATATAAATTTTCTACACCTTGAGTGAAATATCTGCGGTTTTAACATGACGCTTTGAATGCAAATACATAAGAAATGCGTTTATGGGCCTTCTCGGTTTATTAAAAGATTCCATTTTCTACAACAAAGAGGTACAAGGATCAACAAATATTAATAAAGAATAAATTAAATATACAGGGTATTCCAGACCAAAACCAACATACTTTGCTAACATGTTCGGTAGATAATTCTGAATAAAAATATAGATACTATAAGTTGATATTCTGTATAGCAGTATATTTACCCGTTTTATATCCAATAGAGTAGATTTTTCTAGAGACTTCTGTTTCTGATTTTGCAATAACAATTTATGTTCGTCAGTTAATGATTCTTGATAATGTTTCATGTCGAGAATATATTTTTTGTAATTCTGCTCATATTGAGCTTCAAAATCTTTTTTGAGAGCTGGATCTAAATTAGCCCAGTCTTTGGAAGCTTCTTTTACTACTTCAGACATTTTCTGATCAGAGTTTTCTTCCCTTAACTTTGATCTAATGGTTCGTAAGTATATAAGGAACGTGGTCAATGGTTTCTTCGGCTTAGGTGGGAGTTCAACTTCTCGCCCTTGTACTTTTGCATATTTTGACTTATTTTGTGAGATTTTCACCAAACAGTTTCTAAAATAATAAAAAAAGAAATAATTGACTTTCCAGAAATATTGTAACAAATATTGTAAACAAATATTGTAACAAATAAAATATTGAAAGTAATAATTTCAATATTTAAGTAATTCTTTCTAAATTATTGTACTGTATTATATATCAATTCGTAGACCACGATACCTTGCGCATAAAAAGCTTCTTGAATCGACGGATAATATAAATCTCCCAAAACCTGCCATTGTAAATAGATTCTTCCTTAACCAATATTATGATTTTAAACGTATTGTTTTCTACTATATTTCGTATACTTATAGTGTATGTATTTGCATGTGCTCAAATGATTGATCACGACTATAATGTTGTATACATACGAAGTAGTTAAATTACAAAATTGAACCAAAATTATTATCAATTATTACATCCGTGATACACGCTGAAACTTAGTCACTGAATACATATGCATCAGAGAGGAAAGCCTGTTTATCTTCCTCTTTGCCCTTGCCTTCTTCTTGCTTGTTTGCTTCCTCTTCCTCTTTGCTTCAATACCTGCATGCTTTTCTTCACCTGTGTGAATTGGCTTACCATATTAATCAATATTAATGAAATTTCGAAAATTCAAAATTTTCGAATAATTGCTTACCAATTAGTTTTTTCCGAGAAATATCAAAGAAGCTAGAGACTTTTAATAACACGAAATTTCTAAAGTAATACATAAATCGTGATGTATGCCCTATCAAAGAATTGCTCTTTTCATCTAACCAATTGCTCAACCTTCTATGCGTGACAATTTTATCAATAAACAATGAAATTTTTCTGAGCTGCATATCGATAGTGGTATATATCGTTATATTAAATATCGATACAAAATATCGATATTTGACTTGAAAAATATCGATATTCGATATATCGATTCTGTATCGTCATCGCTAAGTGCCGGTTCTGAGGATGCATACATTTTAAAAAAAGTTCATAGCATGTATGTATGTATATAAATGTAATGTCAGTTCGACAGTTCGACGACCATGGCGGAGTGGTTACAGTCAAAAATTGTTCGTCTTAGCGAATTAAATTCTGTTGAAGAGAAGAAAGATATCCTAGCGGAGATTAAAATTAGATTGAGATGTTTAAGCAACCGAGAATCCGAACAGGTCTCTCAGAATCTCGACTATGGACAATTGTTTACTCAGTTAACCTCGAACGACAGGTACAATGACGCCGCTAATTTTTTGTAATTAACATTAACGTATCAATGACCGATCGAAACCATTAAACGATCAATCTTTTTTACTCTTTTAATTTCAGGGAATTCGTGAATGAAGTATGCGATATCTTGAAGACATTGTTTAGTCTATCTGAACCTGAAGACATACATGAAAGATATGCAACTCATATGCCTCGATTGATAACTCATCACGAGGATGTAGTCAGATTGCTGATATTGCAAGAAATTTTGTGTATCGTGTCCGATCCTCAGTTTCTGTCTGTGTTGCTTGCGGATACCACTTTATTACTAGCTGCTATAAACAGAATTGCAGATGAAAATTTGACAGTAGCCGAATACGCAATGCGTATAATAAAAGAAATAGGCAAAAATGCGAATGATCTGCAAATTAAACATACCTTTGAATTATTGAAGAGTTGTACTAGATTACTAGCAAAAAACGACACTATTAGCTTCCGCATCTATGAAGTTGTTGTGGACATAGCAAAGTCTTCGAAGCAGGGGTTAGAAGTTGCTGCCCAATCTGGATTCTTAAACAGCTTATTTGATATTTTGGAGGATGAGGATATATTGCTTCAAGTAAACGCATTGGAAGTCCTGACACAATTGGCATTAACGGAAGAAGGATTAAGCTACCTGGAGCAACAAGATGTACTGAGGAAGCTTGTTCAGAAGATAGCTCAAGCAAACGAGAATCCATTGTCGAATCTACTGATTCCCGGTTTAATGAGGTTCTTTGGAAATGTCGCACGTCATTGGCCAAATGAAATATTCTCAAAGTACCCGGTTGTAGTCTCCTCGTTATTCGAGGTGATTGAGAGCGGGGATCAAGCTCTACTTGGTGTTGCATTGGACACATTAGGACACGTTTCTGTAAGCGCAGAGGGTAAATATGTATTGCAGGCCTTGGGAGATGCGATGCCATGCGTGCTGAAGAAAATTGCGGAAGTTATACAGACAATGCCCACGGCGTTAAGAATCCGCGGATTGGAAAACTTAGCTCTTATACTCGATGTGAAGAAGGCTGAACAAGACAATAGAATTCTATCGTTAACGAAGTCATGGTTCGACTCTCTTTGCGATGAGCCATTGAGCATGATCATAGCAATATGTAGGCAACCGTTCGCAGATATCAGACAAGCAGGCTTGGAAGTGTTGGCGGTTATAGCTGCACAAACTTGGGGCCAGGAATATATATCCGTTTTTCCAGGTCTCGTAGAGTTTTTACTGGACACAAACATAGAGAGCTTCAAAGAGTGCAAAGAAGCCAAATACGAAGTCGTCAGACAACTGTCTCAAGCTGAACCGAACATGTTTGATGGTACCACCATGCAGAAGTTTGTGGAGTTTGTAAACCAAGGACCACACCATGTTGAAATTAATATCGAAGTGGCAACGTACAGTGGCCTATGAAACTCGTTACGTTTCATTTTGTTACTCTATTGGACTATCGTTTACCAAAGCCGAGGAGCACTTCGGTGGACTTTTTGCGAAAGAATATATATTCCCTTTGTCTGAAATTACTTTTTAATAATATAAGTCAAAAGAAGCATATATTTATTTTATACACGTACTATACAAACAAGAGGGTGCATTTTTGTGGTGAGGTGAGAGCGAACGAACATACAAAGACAAATAATTTATTTTATATGTAACAATACATTCGAAAAAGTTAAGACTAACATAGTTTTGCGACAATGCAAAAAAGTTCGGGCAACTCTCTCACTCTCTCTTTCATTCCCTCTTTCTCTCCCACCCTTTCTCTCTCGCTCTCTCTCTCTCTCTCTTTCTCTCTTTCACAGAGTTTGTAAACTCTTCTGTGTTCTTCTCGCATCTGTTCGCGAGATCTTTCATTGACATCAGTTACAATTAAAATAAAGACGTGTATAAATAATTTTACCAGTTGTGTGTTCTGTTTAATAGCTACGATATCACTGCCTTATTATTGTATGCGTTTCCGTTTCTTCGGAGAAAGTATCTTTAGCATGCTCACTATAGGAGCTTCGAATGATAACGATATAATAAAAGACAATACATAAGATAGCACCATTTGTCCAAGAAACGTGATCGCCTGAAACATATAAGTCTATTTTATGATCTTTCTTCTCGATAACAAGCGAGTACTATTGTTAATACAATTCTGTCTCCCTCTCCAAGCATACCATAGTGTAGTTCCCTAAGTGAAACGGCGAGTCCAAGTTCAAAGCTGTTAGCCGGATCACCAGCGGATGTATCAAGTAGGCACAGTATGTTATTCTGCTGAATGGATACAAAATCGGTGCCGACAGGATACTGTTAACATACCCTGTAAACATCGGATCTATTACTTTCCGCGATTTTAAACAACGTTGATGCCTCTGAACCAGAAGCGCGTCCGGTCGCATTTTCACTTTAAACAAGCTATCAGTTTTATCACAGAAAAATCATAAAATTTCGGGACTTCAGGAGTAAGTAATTATAACTGAAAATGTACGCTAATCGAAAAGCAATAAATTAGTCTTCGGAATCTATGATTTCAAAGAAGCGGATACGGCCTATAAAGCACTAAGTTCACCGTAAAACTGGAATACAGATACAGGAGAATAGAGGATGATGCTGAACAGTTGAACGCATTCCTTCGGTTTTCCAATTGATAGTTATCGCAGCGACTTGGGGCATAAACGGTTTACCTCCGTAACCCGTGCTACACGCAATCACGATCCACGATAAGCCGAGTGCCCAGACGCTGTGGCTCAATGAGGAATAAGCGGCGGCCATCAGAGGGCTGAGATCTGCTTCGTACAATCCGTAGAGCAAGCTGAGGAGACAGGCCGAAGAGAGGAGCCAGCCCACACAGACGGTCGTCTATAAAATAATCGTGATTCGAATCAGCGGTTCGAGTTTCACAAGAATCCCGATCGTTTACCTTGGTCATCTTTATTTTGCAATCAGTCTTGAACAGAAAGTAGCCCATCGACATGCCTATTAGATAAGGTCCTAGTCGGGTCCACGGTTTATCATAGATTTTGTCGAAGAGCGCTAGAGGATCGTCGGAGCTCGGCATATGATTATTGACCAGAGCGATGTAACCCGTGGTCAGCCAAGAGCTGAGCAGCAGAGTAGTGAGCGCGAACGTTGCTATTTTGAAATGGTTTGTCGCTAGGACCAGTATCACTGCCCCGACGATATAAAATTGTGTATCGTCCGCAACGTACCAGCTCCAGATCATGCACTGGAAAGAAGGCTGGGATTAGGGACCGTCCTCTAGATCGGCGTATCTGCCGGAATGTTTCGAAAAGAGTTGCGCCACGTCGGAGGTAGAGAAAAAAAAGTAACCGGTCAAGGGGTGACCTTGCCGACGACCTTGGTCGGTCATAATCGAGTTTTATCTCCGGCGCGGATGAGGCAACCGGAGAGATGCGCGAGAGGGAGAGAAGGACGCGCCCTTCGATCCTATCGGAGCGCGCGCCGATCCTCGAGAACGACGTGATAGGACTCACCATTTGGTCGACCGGGAACAACGTATTGATATAAAGCAAGTTCCTCCACCAATAATTCGGACAGTTATAATGATCCGCGGTTGGCGGCTCGAACACCGAGTTCGAATGGAACCATTTCATCGCGATCTGAACGACGACCAGCACGTACATGTACGGGGCGGTCAGCCTAAAAAATCGGTACATCAGCAGCCCGATAAATTTCAGACTGCCGGACACAAAACCCCGTGTACCCTGCGTGAGCGACTTCAGATCACCCTTCGCGTTCGTACGGAAGAACAGAAAGCTGACCAGCAGCCCTCCCATGAAGAAGAACGTGTCGACGCTGAACGCGCCGTTCGTGATCGTCTGGAAGAAGAACTTCCTCTCGACGACCTTCCGGTACTCCATGTTGTCGGCGTACTTGAACGCGGTGATGCACGTGTGCCCGAGGATCACCCACGCCATCGAGATCACCCGAAGACCGTGGATGGTGCTGATCGTGTCCCCGCCGACTTTGCCGTCGCAGATGATCTTCACGTTCGCAGGAACCGAGAAGGACAGCAGCAGCTCCTCGATCACGCCTGCGGAACAAATTCGAGCCAGGGTACTCCCTATTTCTCAGGTGTTTATGGCTCATTCCGTGTCGTTCGTCTTAAAGAAATCGCTACTCACTGAATTTGTACACCTCCGGTGTACTCGACCGTAGGCTACCCTCGTGATCGTTGTTATTATTAACTGGTAATGATTGGGGAGCGCCAATGATAGCTTCAGCCGCTGGAACAGGAAGGTAGACCTTACCTTGAAAATCTACGGAATAACATAATAAAAGCGTGTCACTGTCTCTGCTACTGTCCCAGTCTTGTGATAGTCTGTAAGTGTTAGTGTATCATCCTTCGCACGCAGGCACGAATGCGGCCTATCGCTACACTGCGCTCGAGTATCGTAGAGATGGAAAAGAGCGGGTGAAACAGAGAGAGAGAGAGAGAGAGAGAGAGAGAGAGAGAGAGAGAGAGAAAGAGCGAGAGAGGGGGCGAGGAGTGAGCGCGTGCCTTACCACTTAACGGCTTTTGATTTCTGCCAGCCAGTTGATCGAGCTTCGCGTGCCTCTCCAAGTCGTAGATCACGTTCCTCCGAGCGTATTTTCGCGTCACGTACAGATCGTATCCGGAACCGATCGCCATTAGTACGAAAACCCCCATGCTTATGCCACTGAAAAGATTCTCAGTATCAAGACCCGCTACGAAATCATTTCGCCGCATGGTCGTTCGCTTTCTAGCTGACTCGGCGTTTCTAGCTGACTACAGATTAAAGAGAGAAGATCGACTGGCTTCTGCTACCGGTCCTACGCGGCAGTCCAATCGCGAATAAATTAGACAGATTCGAATCGAACGTACAACAGCGCCCAGAACATGGGGTCCCCGTACATGTTGTACATGTCGTGTTGATCCCGGACCTTCTCGATCATCGAGTTGTTCGCCGCGAGTTCGCTCGCGGCCAGCCTCGCTATCACGGGGACGTCGGCGGCGGTGCACGAGAAAGGCAGACACACTCCCAGATAGATCGTCCTGGTCTGTAAAATAGATAACGTCGCGATTACTCCTCCCGGGGTTCCGAGTTTAGATCTCCGAGTACTCTCAGATCGAGAGGTTCCCGTTGATTTACCGCCGGGGACACGGTGGCGTTTATCGAGATCGTCATCATGTAGAAGCCAAGCTTGTAAGGCGGCTTGACGACCGTCGACTCGGTCCAGAGATTGTTCCCGCTGAGCCCCGTGTTCCTCCTGTGCGGTTCCGCGTTGAATTCCGCCGCCTCCTCCATCGCGACGTCCGCGGATTCCTTCATCTTCCTCGCGTAGTTCTCGTTGATGTAGATGCATTCGGTGGAGGAGCCGACGTAGTAAGAGTTGCCCCAGAAGAAGCTGTTGGTGTAGCGGCCCGAGGCGTCGTCCGCTGCGGGAGAAACGCGTTTCAATGGAATACCTTGGCCGATCGAACATAGCGCGCGAGTCTAGTAGTAGACTCTATTTTTAGTCAGACTAGCGAGCGATCGGTTCGATTTCCCGATTCACGTGGGCTCGTTTGTTTGAATTAGGGGTCTCGTGATAAGAGCCACGTGTTACGGGAAACCGAAGAACCGCGAGTTTAGGAACGTGGATCTGGAATCTCGCCGGCTACGTACGCGACTGCTAAAATGAATATGCCTGCGCGGCTTGACGCGTGTATGCGTGTACACATGCTGCCGCGTTTTATGGCGTTGGACGACTAGTCGTAACCGATGACCCACTTAGTCCGTCAAGACACTTTCCCTTCGACCGACCAGTGACCATTTCCGGATCTCCGTTCCGTCGAAATTCCGTCGAGAGCGAACCAACTCGCGTTACGCGTATATCCCACTATGACGAAAAATATCCCGAAATTCTTGGGTACCGCCGTCGAGATTTCGTTTGGACCGCGAACAGAAACCGGGTGGGCGTGCGTCGGCGACACAAAGCCGGACATTTTCCAGGGAACGGATCGCGCATAATTTCGCGCCGGTTAATACATAATTTTCATTACCAACGGGGATTACGGCACTCATCGAGAGAGCCGCCGCGTATCCACCGATTCTCCGACGGGACTTTCTATTCGAGAAGAAAGTCATATTATCTAATCATGGTCGTGGTATGCCGAGTCCGGGCGGGCCGCGCCGGGCCCCGTCGATCGGATTTCCACAGGCAAGCCCGCTTGGGTACGTGTTGCGCTCTAATCATGGGCCCCATGCGTTAACGATAAATTGTGGTTACAGGATGGAATTGCAACGTCATCGTTTCACGCAGAACGGACTCCGCCGGGGCTTCTATCGGGACGTTTCGTAACCGGCTTCCGGCGACGAGTCACCGCGTTGGGCCGGAGCAATGTCATCGGTGAAATCTCCTCCTCCTCCTTCTCCTCTCGCGGAGAGGATCGGTGTCCGCTGTCGGTCACGATCTCTGTCCGATCTCTGCCCGTGGGTCCAAAGGTCCGGCGGATCGTTTCTACGCGAACGCAGCGACGATCGGCGCGGGAACCCTTGTCCGGCGATGCTACTCGATCGTCCCAAACCCCGACGACGGCTCGGAAACAATGCCAGCAAGAAGCCGGGAACGGGGAGAAACTAATTGCCGATTCCGTCCGCAGGAAATTGAGGCGCGCGCGCGCGCGCTCGGCGCGTGTCGAAATTAGAATCACAATGGATCCCACGCGTTCACGGCTGTTCGTTTGCTGCTGTTCAAAGTCAAGTTCGATCGTCGCACGTGACTCGTGTCGCGTTGTTTGCTCCTCGATTCGTGAACGCGCCGCCGTGATCTAATTTCGCGGCGGCCGGGTACCCGCCCGCCGAGAAGATTGAGTAACGAGGATAATTTCCTCCGCGCGGGTTTATGTGCTCAGCCTTCGAATCCGTGTTTAACCTTTTAGGTACGGCTGAATTCTGCGCGAGGCTGTTTCTCTGGACGGCAGAGTCTGATACTGTATATACAGGGTGTCCCAAAAATGTCTCGCAATCCGAAAGTAGCGGATTCCTCAGGCCATTTGAAGCAACTTTTTCCTTTACAAAAATTTTCTCCGAGGCACCGTTAACGAGTTATTAACGAAAAACAGTGACCAATGAGAGGCGAGTTCAGCTGGCGCGAGGCGATCGAGCCAACGAGCGGAACTGGACTTCGCGCACTGGTTGGCTGGGCCGCCTCGCGTCAGCCGTACTCGATTCTTATTGGTCGCTGTTTTTCGCTAATAACTCGTTAACGGTGCCTCGGAGAACATTTTTGTAAAGGAAGAAGTTGCTTCAAATGATCCGAGGAACCCGCCATTTCCGGATTGCGAGACATTTTTGGAACACCCTGTAGACTGTTGTAAATCGATGCGAAGACAAAAGAAGCGTGAAACAATGCATATGAAGACGATTATTTGGTTCAAACGATGAGCGAGTGAGCTACTAGAGCAAGCCACTATAGTGGCGCGTCGTCCAGAGAGATGACATCCGCGAAAGCCAGTATAGTGGCGCGTCGTTCTGAAAGATGATATCCGCGGAAACCACTATAGTGGCGCGTCGGGCCTAAAAGGTTAACGTCAAGGCCCCCAACCAGCCGTTCAAGGGAAGTAAGCTGTTTCCGGTAGTTCGATGGTTTTTTGCGGATGACAGCGAAACACGGATCCGATAGGCTCCGCGACCGGTTTCCACAGAGGCCTGCCGACTAGAGCACTGCTCTCATGGTCGGGGTTCCCTTGGCGAAGTTCAAGGGCTATCGCAATCGGCGTTGCTCGAAAAGAAACGCTCGGATCCGGTACACTGGCTGCCCGACATTGTAGCCGGTCGGCGAAAAGTATAGGCTGCTCTCGGCTCTTGTAACTAAAGGGGAACGCGACTCGATCGCGGCGCAAAACGCTCGGCAACAGTGGAAATCGCAGCTGCGAAAGATCGATGGTAACCGCTTCGTAAAGTGGGTTAATTTTCCGTCCACCGGTCGCGGTCCGATCGGATTCCGATCGTTTTCCTCGGACGAATTGTCGTTCGTTGACCGTGACAACAAGATCTATCGTCTACTTCCGAGCGATCGGAACGTGCCGAATGCCGCGTTCCGGATGGTCGCAGGGAAAGTAATTCGGAAAGAGAAAGGCTCTTCTTTTGCATAGATGATCGTGTTGTAACATTAACTGGCCGGGGAAGACGGGTTCGCTCGTCGGCCATGTTTCACTTTCGATCGTGCTTGCACACTCTGTATCCTCAAAAAATCGAACACAAAGGTCGCGATGACTTTACGCTATAACAACGAGTCATTCGTTTCTTCGAAATCGAAACATGATTCTTCGACCAAAAATTCTGAGAATGAAAGCAAATGAAAACGTAGGCCAAGAGAAATCGTGGTACAAGGGATCAACCCTTTGCACCCGAGTGACGACACCACGAACAATTGTTACAACGTGTTGCAAAATAACTTTTACATTACCACGTTTGTTTATATTTCAGAGACTGTGGGAAGGGCAACTGTTGTACCAGTTCTAATAAAATAAAGTAGCGTAGGTCAGAAAAAGATTATCTTTGATTTAGAGTTAAAACGACTTCGAGCGCAAATGGTTAAACTTCGATCTTTCTGTTTCCAGCGGGACAGTCGGATTCTATTCTCGACGAACATAGCGTTCTTAGGCGTGGACGCCAGCATGTCCCAGGGTCTGGTCCGGTGAGTGTTTGCACGGTTTTACCTCGCAGCCGGGTTTATTGCCGCAGAGGCATTGCAGTTTCAAGATAGGTGTGCCCATGCGTGATTCCTCGATCGGCTCGTCATGTTCGTTCGACGTATTAATAGTGCCTGGTGTCACGAGGCAACGCGAAACCGTGACGCGAGGATGCCTTCGCACCGATTAGTTGCGTAAGCCGAGTCGCGCGAGCGTTGCCCGCGATTTAGGTAAGGGAAGAAAGGAAAATGGAAAAATTATAACGGCGAACGGAACGCGCGAGCCGCGCGGGGGTCGGGGACACGCCCGACGCATTGTCCTGTCACGGCGCACGATTTCACGACGACGGCGTTGCGGCAATACCCGTTTGTGCTTTCGATATCCGTCCCATAATCGGCGATCGGTCAGCGAAAACGTTCGCGAGCGGGGTCGCGTTTCCCCGCGTTTCCTAACTGATATCGGCCGATTTGCCAAGCCGAATTAATTACGGTCCTTGGTCCGCGAGCCACGCCGAATGAATCGTAAGAAACCACGCGGAACCCGCCCCGCGGACCAAACAAACGTTGAGTAACCGGGTTCGTTGATAAATCGTACGGAATCGATGCCATCGGTTGTTACCATTTCAATTCACGTGGGATACTTTTTGGCAGATAATAAAGCAATTAACGCCTTTAGAAAAGAGCTCTCTCGCGCGTGAAACGGATAATTGACACGAATTGTGTCTCTACGACTACCGACACTAGTATTACCTAGTTTGCTTTACGATTTCCTGGTGTCGCAATTTTTGCACGCGTTATGTGTATACATATTTCGGGTGTTGCGTAAGTCGAGCGCATATGACGCGCGTGCAAACGCGCGTCAATGCTTTCTCTCCGCGAGGTTTTCCAGCGACAACAAAAAATTTCGACAATTCCTGCGGAAATCGATTAGTTTTCCAGTTTATGCTGATCCACGTGAACTTTTTTTCAGGAGGTTTGGCGAGATGCGTGGCTGCCGCGGACTCACGTTCCACGCGACCGTTCAAATTTAAGCCGATGAAAACCTGTTCACGCGGGTGAAACACGTAGAAAGTACATCACGGAGTATCTGCTTATATAACACCAGGCCGAGACCCGTTACATTAATCAGACGGTAGAATAGATCGGCCACGACCGCCTCGACGTCTACCGTGCTCCTCGATTTGTACAGAGGGTGTTCTAAAGCCCGTTGCGCAACTCACGGGGGTTCGAATTCCTCGAGCGAACGCGCGCAAACAAGCCGGGCTTCTGTTTTCTTTGAAACGGGTTTCTGTTTTCGAAATAATCCGGCGAGAGAAACGCCGCCGGCCATCGATTCTTTCATACTTTTATACGTCGATTTCGTACTCGCATCGTCCCTGAGACTACATACTCTCTATTCGTCTTTCAGATCAGCGACCTTATCGGGCGAGAGGAGGCCGTCCGAAGACACCTGGTCCAAAGGTACGTCGTCCGGAACCGAAGGTTCGATTTTCATCCGGTTCGATCGGTGCCGAATCTTTCTCGAAAGTGAAAGGAATGCGTCGTGATAATCTGTACTTTGTTTCAGACGAGGAAGTGTACGGTAGGAACACGGTGAAAGAGAGTGTGAAACGCGAGGAATTGGATAGAAATGTTAGCGGAGCGCGAGCGATTCGTGAGCAGCGTGCTTAGCCGCCGATGTAGGAAGTCTCGCGGGAGCGAGGGTTGTATCGGTAGCGAGTTATGTCACTGTTGTTAACAAGAAAAACAGATGCAAAAGGATCAGGATTATTCAAGAAAAGTCGGGTTACGTGAAAGTTGCGCTCGCAAGCCCGGCTTCCACGTAATCCTTTCTCCCGAGTCCGCAACCGCGGTGGCGTCGAGGCCCCGCCGGGGCCGGGACGTGGCCGGGGACTCGGGTTTTTGTACCCGACGTGACGTAATTTCGATAATTGTGGCGGTTTCTCTGGTTCGCCGGCGCGGTTCCTCCGCACGCGTGACTCTTCCTTAAACTTTCTAACGTTGCCCTCGCGCTCGCGACCACGCTCACGATCACGCTCGCGAGCGCTTCGCGCTGCGCTCCCTGCAGAATCGCAGATGACGATGGAAGCAGGCGCCGGCCACCTCGTGCTCTACCGGCCCGATCTCGATGATTGGATTGTGGTCTGGAATGTTTTTCATCTTCCGCGCGACTTCCTTTCACTATGTTTCCGAGCGCCGTTATCGACCGATTAATAGACATCGTTTTCAATTTTGTTAAAGCGAAAACGCGGAGATACGGTAGCTGGCTAACTCCTGGTTCTCGCAATTCAGGCGGACAATTGCCGACCATCGATTAGATTCGCTTCCGACGCCACCGCCGTATCCACCGCGAGCCTATCGCGATCGCTTCCTCGTTCGATTAATTTCTTTGACGCGGACCTTTCACCGATCGAAGACCGACTTCTCGCGTCAAGTTCGTAGACTCCGGCGAGATCCAAGCAAGAACCGGAAGCGGACGACTGATGAACGAGCTCGCGCAGGGCCCGGACAGAAGAATGCTTCCCACAACGACCGTCTCGGCGAGAGCAGCTTTTCAAATGTCATACAACGGTATAATGTGGCTTCCAGGCATCGCGCGGCACGCACCTTTCACCTTGCCCCCGCGCAATTGTACAAATTTGAACTCCCCGCGATGATAATGGGGCGGGCGGCACGACGCCGAAAGAGAAAGTCGTCGAATTTCGCCGCCGCGAAACGACTTTTCCGCTCGGGAATCGGGGGGAGCTCGTCGGACGGCGCGCTTCGAGGTTCCCCACCGGAAATAATAAACATTAGACGATAATGGAGTCTTCGTAAAATTCTGCGCCGAGAATGGAACGCGAGCCGGAACTTTCTACGATTATATCCCGTCGGACCGGCGCGATGCTTACAGTTGAAATAACGAGATCCTCTTTCCCTCCGATTCGGGAATGAAAAAAACAACCGTTGCCTATTATCCTCGCGTTATTGACAAATTGCTCTCGCGAACCGTGCGGTTTCGAGCTTGTTCGAACGGAGCTAGCCGATACCGTTCGTTCGTGCGCTCGCCCGGAAGATTTCATCCTCGTAACGGGATATATGTCGAAAACGCTCTGACAGGAACCAGTTTCATCATCTTTGAACGCTCTCTATTTACCAACTTGACTATTAAATTATTCTACACGGTTACACCGGCGGTCCGTATAATATTCGTGCACAGCCTTCCGCCTGCGTTCTGTGCTCGAAGGATTCCAGCATCGAAATCGAGTGATAGCTTCTTCGCGATTAGAAAAGTATAACTATAGGTTTGACAGACTATGTGCTATTTAATACGTTAAGTGCTGCGTCGGTCGCATACGGTCGCTACTAATTTTAAACTAGTTCTCAAAATTAATTTTTGTTGCAACGTATTCGAACAAATTGAATCCCACTAAGACATTCAGAATGCGAAGTTCTAGTTCCAATTTTATTGATTGAATTATTTCGGCAATAAATTATTTTCGCCGCTTAAGGTATTAAAACGATGTCGCGTCGTTCGCCAACTTATCTTTATCAAAATTCATTGTACGATGTGCGAACCGCAGGCCTAATTTTTCCCGGTTCGATATTATAATCTGTTCTTGGATGCCCGAAAGTTCAACTCAGTAGTCCAGTTTGATAACCAAATATGTAGGCGAGGCATTTGCGTAACCGCAAACGAACGTTTGCTAAAACCACCAAATTCCTGGCACGTTTCTCCGTGTAAACGCATGAAAAGAAAAGAAACGATCTTCGAGCGTACACAACGCTTCGAGCGCAGAACGGCTACGCAACTTATGCGCGTACATAAACGTTCACTTCCGATTCTTGTTTAAAGAGATACTATCTTCACCGGGAAAGGATATTTTCCATATTTTACAACTACTGTGTCGAGAAGCCCGCCCCCCGGTCTCGCTATGGTCACTGGTCTCAATATCAGCGTTTGCTAACCGACCGCGAATTCGCGATCGGTCGCGGTCGCTCGCCTTGGCCCCGGAACTTTTCGATCGAATCGCGTCTCGCCTAATCGCAAGCCCAATCGAACGCCTCTCCCGTTCCCCTAGCACTTCCTTCGCGGTGATTGGAATGGTGCAATCGATCCGACAGGGTAAAACCAGTTGCGAACAGCCTGCACACGATGATATCACGGAAAATCGAAGTTCAACGGGGGAAACGAGCCATGACTGTTGCTCCCTTTTTCTCTTTGGGTCTGGGTGACGCTCGATTGATTTGCTCAATTAGCTTATGAAATGTAACCGCGATAAAGATCAATTAACGGTGCCGAGGAATTATAAATAACAAAAGTGTCGCAAAAGAATGAGGCAACTGTGTACAAGATCTGCGATCGTCGTCGACGTCGACGAAGACGCGACCTGATTCCGTTCGCGGTCTAACGCAACAGTATAAAAACTTGAAAAACTTGAAAAACTTGTGGCAACTGGAAAGAGCGGTGCCGATCCGGAAAGACTCGCGTCGAACTTGATCTGGCTGCGGTCGGGTTGCTCTTTTTCATAAGGACAAATTTTACAGATTCTCGATCGCCCTCATCCTCCTCCATCTAGCCTCGTGCGTTCTTTCTGGCGAAGGGACGACCCTGACCCACTTAGCCCTTTCACCACCGGCGAGTCATCGTGAAGAATGCCCGACCCTTCCCGACGGTGATCTTTTGTTACGAAGGATACGAATGCGCAGCTCTCGGTACAAGAACGCGTAAACCGTTCTTGGACATTGCACGACTCTCGTAACCGATTCAACCGAGTGTTTCGATCGGATGAAAAATGTCTCTTGGAAAATCGAGCGATCGACCGAGTTCAATCGATCGCACTACGATCTCCTACGATTACGACAATTTCCCTGATAGCTGCGGGACAATTTTCATTTCTCGCGTCTTCACGAATTTTCTAGATTTACAGCCCCGATCGATTTTAACATTTCATCTAAGCACTCCAGATATCCACCTCTCTTCTGGACCAGTCTACAGACATGCTTCATTGAATTCAGTAAACAGAGTGGGTGGTTTAGCTAACAAATATTTCGTGAAGGTTGACTTTTTCACTGGGAACACGCTCTAATTTAAAGCGAAATTAATTAAATTATTAATATCTACCTAGGATTGGTTCCATTGCAGCATGTATTTTCCTTCTTTTTATCTTATACTGGTTCTTTTACCGACGTATTCGATAACGTTCTCGTTCGTTTCCTATAATATGTGCTTCTGTATGTTCACGACTTATACACACGCGTAGGAAAATATGTTAACACTTTTTCGAATGGAAGAGCTTTTTTGAAATTCGTCCAAATAACTTGAACTTTTTTACCATGTTAGTTTTTTTAGAAAATGAGCATACATTTTTTTAAAATGTATACTCTTTAAATGCATATTATAATATATATTACTCTTTTTAAATGTATACTAAATAAATAAATAAATGAATAAGTAAATTTTGATTCGATGTAGAAGAAATGAGTAACATTTATATTTTGTAGATCGTGTATAAAATCTTCGTCACGAGTCTGACTCGTTACGACAGCGCAAGGGGTTAATCGATCGCTCATGGGACGTTGATGCTGGATCGAACATTGCTACGCTGTCCGGTCGATCGTTGCGGAGGCGATCAACCGGTAAACTTTCGAAAACACCGGCGAGCTGCCGGCCCTGGAGAAAAACCGGCATTGACCGAGGGAGGAAACGCGTTGAAAGCGATTCGGTGTCGTGACTAGCTACGGCGGCCGTCCATTGTGTCGCGAAAAGTGAAATTTCGCGATGAAAGTAGGCAAACCGGGAGGATTCGCCGGGAAGGATACACCGGGAGTAAGCCTGATGTTTCCCCTCGACTCTCGATTTTCACGCTTACGAAACTCCTCGCGCCGTTTCGACCGTTCTGCACGCGAATGCGAACCGCTTCGACTTTGCATCCGCGAAACGGCCGAAAAGCCCGAGGATCTCGAAGCGTTTCCGGTCCGTGATCGGAACAACCGCGAGCCCGGAACGGTAATCCGTCCGCGACGTGTCCCGCAACTCGCGCGCTTTCTATTTGTACAAGAAATTTTCGTCGACGGACGCATCCCGTTGCTTCCCACTAACCAACGAGACCGCGAGACACAAGAGTCAACATCTCGCTCCGGTACCGAAAGCTTTATACTGAAATTGAATTTACCTTTCAGCGCCCATCCCTCGTGCTTCTTCAGTCCCTGGATGTATCTGGTGAGATCCTTGGCGCACTGCTCCTGCACGGGATACCGTCCCTCGGTCCAATTGCTGGCAAGATGTCGCACGTTGAAGATATCCAACGCCTCCGATATGGTGATCCAGTTGGCGTCAAGGGTGTCCGACGAACTTCGGACCAGCTGGCTGGCGAACAGATCCTGCGCCGAATTCTGCGACGCGTTCGAGGCGGATCTCACCGCGGAGATCGAGGCGAACGCGAACAGAACCGGGATCCACGAGCGCTTCATTGTTCTAGGATACGTTTCCACTGATACGATAAAACACCGTTCTAATCAGATGGTTGGAGACGCGATCGATTCTCAACCGATCATGATCGATGCCTCGGGGTGGTATTCTCGCTTCGAGCCGGTTCCGCGACGATATCACAGCCAAATATATTAAGAAATTCGTCTTCGGAATTCAATATCGGGAAATCGAGATCGAGCTTCGCGTTCACTCTCGTAGATCACGTGCAGCTTTGCGATCGCATTCTCGATGTGTCCCAAGGTGTTCCGTCGCGAACCACTTCCGTTCTCATCATGAACGATACCGAGAGTCCGTTGCGCACGACTGTCCTCTCTCGGCCCTTGTTCGGCCTTCCGAAACCAGTCGATTCTGGCCGCTATCGTCCCCGTCCTCCCGTCTGCGTGTCGGCCTGTGGTTCCTCCGCGTTCGGTGGCCAAGAATCACCTAGAACGACGCGCGGCTGGCAATGGTAGAAAAATGACCTCGCCGGATGAATATCTTGGTAGTAATGAAAGTGGCAGAGGAATGGTGGGGCAGCAAACCTCCCCGGTATCGAAAAGTGAACGCCAGTGGCGAGACACGTTGCTTCGACACGACACAAAGAGACACGCGGCGAGCTTAACCGCGCGTAGTTAGCATAACGTCCGTGGATCAGGCAAGATGAAACGATGGCCGCGTCTTCCAGCCACAAATCGGTTCAACAAATCGTTCGAATCTGTTCAACTGCTGAAACGCGACGAACGAATCGATCGTATTTGCCGTTACCATCAAATAAACCGTGGATGATGATAATCGTGACGAGTCGGACAGATTCGAGGAATGAACGGATCCAGAAGCGAAATAAAATATATTGGAAGATTAGGTAATTCGCGTTCAGATTGTACACAAAAATGGACAATTTAGAGAGAGGAGGTACGATTATTTCAGCCTTTTGCGGCCCGTTTTTATAGTTGTTAACAATCGGTGATTATAAAAACGAGCCGCAAGGCTCGAACAATCGTATCTCCACTCCCTGAATTGTCCATTTCTTTTTTGCACAATCTGAGCGTCAATTAGGGAGAATTTACTGTATTGCCAAACCAGCGTGACTCGTTTGTTTTTTAGTCGTACGCGGTAGAAGAACTAGGAAGACGCGTTTACCTCGTTAAAATTAGAAAGCAGGAATCCAGTTTTCGGAAACGAGCCGAGTGTTTGAACAGACGACTGACCTTTGCGCGGCCGCCTCCTCTTCCGGTAATATGTATATTTCGCGACGTTTCTGCGCTCCTTTTTGGTGTACCGCGCTTTTGGAAACGGCGCGGCGCAAGGATCGTTGTTCTGTCCACGAAAGCGTAATTGGTCTCGCGATCGGTGAATTACTAATTAACGACTCGACTGCTCGACGGTGAGGGATAACGAGAGCCGCGTTAGAATAAATCGATCGATATCGGGGGCGAATTAGTCGAGAAGCGCTCGGCGAAGTTACGCGCGAATACGCCGCGAGAAAACGATCGAGTCTGCCGCGTGCAGGTTTCACTGGAAATTTTCATGTTGTTACAGGCGTGTGTTTCTCTTTTTCCTTCTCTTTCTCTTTTCCCGGTACGCTGCTTTCGTCGCCGTTCGCCGCCCGGTTGTGCTGAAATTCGCCTTATCTCTACTCTTCTTGTACACACAGCATGACGGAACAACCGTTTTCTCGGTGCATCGTGACCACCAGAAATATTTTACGTTTCGCCGTACTCGCTATCCGAGTCACGTACGAGCGACCTCTTCTGTCTAGTATTTTGCGTGAACAAAGTCAAATAGTTATTAGTTATTATTTCCGTATAGATAGTTATACGCGTTATTATTTCCAGTTAAAAATACATTGCGTGATAGTTCGGTCTGAAATCGTTGACTCCTTTCATGGAGAACACGGTGCACTCTATATAGTATTGTTATTGCGAGAAAATTTGCTGGTCAACGCGTTAACTTAGCACTAGAACTACCGCGCCAGTTGGAACGACTGATTTCGGATTTATGCTGTTACAGTTCCAGATATTATAGAAATGTTTCTTTGAGAAAATTTTATAACGTACGAAATTTTTTAATAAATCGTATCTTGTCATTGTTATAAAACAGTGTACATTAGCCGCGTTCGAGGGTCGGTAGATCTAATGTTAATTAACTATCAAGGCGTGGTCGTGTCCATTTAGAAAAATTAATTCGCCGAACGATCCGCGTCGTCGACGGTTCCACCGACTGCCGTAAATTTTTTTAAAAGGTCGCGGTCAGGACAGAAATGAATATCGGTAGTTTCGTCGAGCCGGCTCGTCGAGAAAGTGATTAGCATGAACCCTGACGAGGTGGTCGTATTCATTACGCGTGTGATATGTGCGCTGCGGGATGCGGGAACGCGACCCGCTTGAAAACTCGAGCTTACGTGTGGGAGGCGCGATCCTTGTCTTCTAGATCGTTACACGACGCACAAACCGTTTGTTAATGGTCATGCGTGCCGCTCGTTACAGAGTTTAACATCATTTGCCATCGCGATGGCCGCCGTATACACGGGCGATAGTAGATTTTATTAGTATTTACTTGTGTGTCTCTAGAGTTTTCCTTAATCGCTTCAGCCTTCCTCTGTTTGTACAAACCACTTCCGCGATTCTTACATATTCATAGAACACGATCTTGCCGATAAAAAGAAGATCGTTAACGGCCCGTCCGGTTTTGCGTCGGCAATCGTATCTTCGCTTGCTCGCGTGGAAGCGTGCCGGTCCGATCGGTTCCGAAACTTTCGATACGAGACGATCGGCTTTATAAATATTCCAATTCAAAATTTCTCTTTCGTTAGAGTCATGTATTTATTCTGCGACGGCAACCTATCGGCGTCGCGCCGCGTTGCGTCGCTCCGGCAGGTGAAACTCGTCGGGGTGGCGAATCGCGTTTCGTCACGTCTCGTTCTTGGAAACAGGGGTACAAGGTTCGCGTTCGAGGCGATTCAGAAGTATCTCCTCGTTTCCAAAAACAGATCGAAATTCGTCGAGACATAGGTTCAAGGTCTGCCTTTGCTCATCGACCATCGGATCTTTCGTCATAAATGCTTCCACCTTTGAGCAGGCTTGCTGTCCGCAGCTGTCCGCGTGGGCCGGCATTTATAAACCGTTCCAAGAAGATAACGCTGCAAAGACCGCCAGAGACGAATAAAAGACGGATGCGAAAAAGAATTCGATAGGGTCATTAGGTCTCAAGTGCGCGGTTTCCTCTTTCGCTTCCGATACTATGCGCCGGTTTTAACGCATAGCAATACGCGCATTTCAATTAAACCTTTCATGCATAAAACTATCTCGGCCGACCGACAAGTTTTCCTTGGAGCTGACGTTATATTCTTTATGTTCGTCGGCTAAAAAATGCCAGGTATTCTAGAAAATTGTTTATCGAACCCCTTAAACATGTCCGACGCGTTCCGCGTTTTTTCTTTCTCTCTCCCGCGAGAGTTATACACGTTTCGAAAACAGCAGGCGTCTGCTCAGAAAATCCTCGAGAAAACCTGGACGAATAAATCTAACTGCTTTTTTCCTCCTGTCTTTACGTAATGTTGTTGGAAGTATCGCGGTCACCCCATTTTGCGCTCGATTATTGTCGAAGAGAACGTGTCGCGTTCGATGTGTCTTGTTACGCGTAGAAAAAGAAAAGCGCAGATCCCTTGACCGGTGTTCTTCTACTTCTTCCAGGCTCGCAGAGGATGGACTATCCTCAGGAGGGACACCACGGGGGCCTCGAAGAGTATGCTGATGACCAACGCTACGATGTAGGAAGCTATCGTGAACCCGAGGAACAGTATTCCCTGAAAAATATGGTCCAATTGACAGAAAATCGCCGTGGAAAATGATCGTCGTCGAACAACGGATCTTTATACATGTGCATAAGGGTCTAGAATCTATGAACATCTTTCGACTTTTCCGACCTGATTGTTCCGAGACCAGTAAAAGAAAGGGAACCGACCGAAGCATGATGTTATTTAGTCGAAATTTGGACGGCTCGAGGCAAGCAGCACTTTCACCTGAGGAAAACAGTGAAAGGGGGAAGAAATGAAAAGTGAAGACAGGTGGAGGGGGATTAATAAGAACGTCGGAGAGGGAAGGAGAGAAGAGAACCGGAGTGGAAAGCCGCAGGAAAGGCGAACGAGTCGGGATCTAGCGGAGGCTTCGGAAGTCGGACTGATTCGTTTGATCGGTAATCGGGAGATTCAATTTACCTCTGTAAGGACGCACTGTTTTCTTGAAACTTGACTGAAAATTCTGTTAAAAGATTTGCTAACATAATTTCAGGTGCACAGACGAATGCTGGAAAGTATAATTGCTTGAGAAAACAATCGAAAGATTAGATCGACGACGTGTGACGTTACGGAGGTAACTGCAGAGATGGGTGCAGAATTGTGTAGGATGGGTAGGTGGATGGAAAGTGGTTGTAACTTATAAAAACGATTAAATTATGATTCTAGTACCATCAATCCAAGCGTCAAGTGCATCGAACTTTCTCCTTTCAAAACTACCGCTCGTATGATCACGGGATGAACCAGATACACGCAGTAACTCAGCCTGGATAATGGGTATAGATACTTCCAGGATAGTATGTTGTTCACGATGCCTGAACAGAAAAGAAACGATAATTATCCACGTAGGAATTGGATCGTTGGAATTGTTTCAAAATTTAAACCTATGCTGTCCATGAGCGACAGCCAGTTTCCTGGAAGATGAACCTGGAAGCGCGATTAACGAATCACAAGGAAGCACGGACAGCATGGTTTGATGTCACGTCTACGATACTGACCACCATGACCGGCAACGCATGCTACGAGGACCCAGCCGACTGCGACCGCCCATCCTGAATGCGACAACGCGGTGTAAGCCGCGAACATGAATGGACCGTGGGTACTTCCGTAGAGGCCGTACACTATACTCAGCATGACAAAGAAGGAAACGATCCAGCAAATGAATGAGACCGTCTGCAATTAGAAGCAACAGCGTGGGTATCAGTCCGCGAGCGTTGGGACGGATCGCAGTAATCGACGATCATTACGGAGAAAGTAGATTACGATGCTTCTTACTGCACTGCGATCTGATCAGCGATAACCAGTTACGTGAAATCGCGGGTGCGCGGAGAACTATAATGACTCCGATCGTTCCCCAAACAACGCTCAAGAAGTAGGAAATCGCGACGCGGTTTCGAGCACCGAGTAAAAACGCGATCATCTAGCCGTAATTAGCGACCAGCTCTCTATGAAAGTTATACGAAGTTCACCTTAGGCAACTTGAGACTGCAATTCGACTTGTAAAGGTACCAGCCGGCCATCATCCCCAAAAGATACGGTCCGATCCTCGACCACGGCTTATCGTACAGGCTCTCGTAGTGAGCGAACGGATCCAGGATGCTGTTGTAGTCGGTTTACGAAACGTTTCAATTAACGCTGGAACTCTAATTAGCCGATTTTTCGGTAAGAGGGGAGACGCGCTTACCTTGGCACGTGCTGCGTGTGGAGCGCGATGGTCGCCGTGACGATCCAGGACACGATCAGAATCATGGTCGCCGCGAACGCGGCCACCGAAAGTAGCCTGTAAACGAGAATTCCATCTAATTACCCAGGCACCATCGGACTCCGATAATAACTCCATACCTCACGCCGATTATAAGAATGATCGCTCCGACGATGTAGAATAATGTGTCGTTCGCTAGGTACCAGCTCCACACCATGCACTGTGTCGGCGGCGCATAATCGTTTAGTTCACTGTACTGGATATTGTATGCACTTATTTCTAGGAGATTGTACGTACCCGTTCATCCATGGCGAAGTACGTGTTCACGTAGAGAGCGTTCCTCCACCAGTATCGTTTGCAGTTCTGGTAATCGAGCGTGTACAGATCGAGCATCGTGTGGTGGTAGTACCAGGAAGACGACACCTGGATCAAACCGATCACGAGAAGGTAGGGCGGTGTTAGGCGAAAGTACCGGTACGAGACCATTCCCAGAAACTCTAGGAACTTGCCGCAGCTATTCCTCAGGACTTTCATCTTCTGTATGGATTTCTTCGTGATCGTGCGGAAGTAAAGGAACGAGACCAGGCAGCCACTAATACAAAGTCGAGCATTCGTTTAACATTAAGCACTAAAAGTAACTGGCGTCTGTTGCCTGATAACGGTGGCAAGACTATATGTATTTAGGTTTTTCATCGTTTCTATCGTAATGCATGCTTGTGTCGAAGCATTGATTCAATCATGTTTTACGGAACAGTTTTTCCTTTCATCAACTTTAAAATAAAAACTGTAGAAGCGGTTGTTTCGACCGGATCGGTGGGTTTAGTGTTAAACGTATCGTGGAGAATATTTGTACCTCATGAAGAAGAAGGTGTCCACGGCGTAGGTACCGTTGCTAATCGTTTGATAGAAGAAGTCCTTCTCCGCGTTAGACCTAAATGATCTAGCTTCTGCGAATCGAGAAACACGTTTACACGAAAATGCACCTGAATGATTCCGATGTCCACTTACCGGAGACCACGTTTACAGTCAGGCAAGTGTGGACCAAGATGATCCACAGCATAGAAATCAGCCGCAGTCCGTGAATAGGAGCCAGCGTGTCGTCGCCAACATCCAGGCCGCAGAGTTTCGATAGATTCAAGAGAAGACTGAAAGATAACAGCGCCTCCGACAGCGGTTTCGGAGCGCTTCTCGTGTTCCTCACGTCTGGAATAAGAAAACCAGGGTAGCCCGATGCGAAAGAATCCGAGCAAGGTAACGTAGATATACCTATAGCACCATTGTGCTCCTTCACCGACCACAGCTTCGCGATCGTGATCTCATCGTCGCTGTTTTGGTCGGTGTGCATGATTTTCATTTCCGCTGCCGTGTTCGCGATATCCCGAACATTTCGCCGCGAACGTAATACCCGATATCTCAGGGAAACGTCGTAGAAAGTGCCCAGACAGGCGAATACAATGGCCACGGCAAAAACAAACCTGCAAGCCATTGGATCGGTCAAGACAATCGGCGAACTAGTTCCTAGTATAGCTGTAAATGCTGGGTAGCAAGTTGTAATGCGAATATTTGTTGAGTTAGATGCGTAGCTATGCCGGGTGGAAAATCAGTTTGCCTTTGCTTCAGAACAGGAGGATTGGACTTACACTAGGATGTAGAAGATCGGGTCCTCCCATAGAGAGTATCCCTTCGACAGATTCCTAACAGCTTCGATGACCACTTCGGAGGATGAATTCCCTTCGCGCGGGCCCTGGAGGAAGAGGAAAAGCTCTCGGACGTCTTGGACGTCGCAGGAATCGGGTAGGCAGAGTCCAAGGATGATTCTGAAAGACTATTTGGCGGAGAATAGTACGCCATTTACCCCGTCTTGAGTTTAGTATCGAATGCATTTTACTTCGCTCAGTTCCGGGTGTAAAGAACGCAGGTGGAAGCTGACGGAAGTGATGCTAACTAGAAACGGCGGCACATTTCCTTTCCGATGGCCACCGCCATTCTCTTGCCCCTTGAGAAACTCGACGGCGATTTCGCGACATTGATCCGAGGAACCCAACCAGAACACGTTACCGGAGAACAATCCCCAGGTGTACTTGCCGCTAGCGTCGACCACTGAAAATAATCGAGCCTGGACTGGTTTGCGGATATTACAGGGAAGTATCTGTCCGTTACATGAAAAATATTTTTCACTTCCTCCCTTTCTACGAGGAACAACTTTCTCAAATTCCATTATCTTCTTGAACCACAGTTGGGCTAACAAGATACCGCCGTTCTTACATAGTTCGCTTCTTGAAATTACGTGCCGATAATTAACTGAAATTGTATAATGCCAGACAAGATACTTTTACCATTACGTCATTGAACTGAAAGGTGTTCATTGCACATTCGTTCCTATTAATCTACAATTATCCTCGGAAGTTCGTTGAAAATAGATATCTATGTCGCGCAACAGAGTTGTAAACTACGTAAAAATTTCAAAATTTTGAATCAAGAACCGTTATTGATAAAACGATACCGAAGAATTAAATTCGATTAATTTTACTTGCTTTTCAGTGCCCATTGTTCCCCCGACAACACTCCCGACATATAATTCGTGAAATCCCGTTGACAACTCGCGGAGACGTTCGGCGATCCTTGAGTCTCGTCATGCCAAATTTTCGCAGTTTTGAATGGACTCCAAACATCTACAAGATCATTCCATTGGAACTTCGACGACATCGATCGAACCGTTTCCTTCTGCCCCAAATTAGTTTCCTCGGAACTGTTATAATTGTCCTTCAAATTATCACTGATTGTTGTCAATCCTTCGTCAGTAACTTTTAATCCGCCGACGCACCAATGCACGTACGACACAAATAATATAAACGATATTCGCATTTTGGAACAAGACAGAAGAATGGTAGGAGGAATTATAATTTTTAAAATTCAATTAAACCGCGGTTTCTTCGTAGACGGAGTTTTCAAACTAATAGACTTTTTTCGCGCGGTTAATTCGAACACATTGGGATGATACTCGGCAGACTGTTATGGGCATAGGTTTTGTATTCACTGTGACTATCCTATGAAGTGAATGGTCAGATATACTGTGCTTACCGCCTCCCACTTTCCTGCCACCTGATCCTGATATTACGATTACGCACGCTCTAAACTCAAGCTTTAATAAACTGTTTTCGTTCGACCATACATCACTCGACGTTTCCCGCCATTTCAGTTGTCAACGCGTGACATGGGTCATGCGTTTTTCGTGAAAGTTTCGTCCGACGGTAAATCGTCTCAAATACGGTTACGTTACGTACTGTATGTTCTTTTTTTTTCATTGAACCAGGAAATTGTCCTTCGTTGTTAACCAAAAGAGACAGATTAAGTAGAATTAGCGGTGATTTGAATTTTAAATGGATATATCGAGCATGCGCAATCGATGAATTCCATCGTTCAAGCTTTTTCCGACCTCAACTTTTCCGTATGAACTGAGTTACATGCGAAACAGTTGTGGAACATAACCAATGCGGATACGTGCACGGATTGTTTGGTGTGTAAACAGTTGACGGTTTGGACAACAATTATGGATATTATAATTGATACGAAAGGGGACGAGAATTTGATAACGAGGGACCACTTGATAGAAAGCGATGAAGAAGATGTAGATTTTCAAGACACTGGTAAGTCAAACCGTACCGATCAATTTTGTTTAGTGAGGTTAAGGCGTTCGGCAAATTATTAAAGATATTTATTTACAGGACAAAAATCGCCGATTTGCTTTGATATAGAGAAAAATTTCATCGAAAACGATACTGCGAAGAAAAAAGAGCGTCGCGACGTAACTAAAGATATCGATCTTGAAGAATTTGAAACTGATATGGGTTGGTTACGTCCGAAGAAGGGACAAAAGAAAAAGGCAACGAAAACACTAGTGATTTTAACAAAAAATAAAACACCGGTGGAAGAAGCACTTGAGAAATCTATAATAAAGCCTGGTTTTGAACAATTAGAATCTGTGCCTCCCTACGAGCTGAGCAAAAAGAAACTGCAAAAAGAGAGACGCAAAGAACGTGCTAAGACCAAGGGCAAGGATTGGTTCAATATGCGTGCTCCTGAAATGACACCAGAAGTTAGACATGATCTCCAAGTTCTACAAATGAGATCCGTGCTAGATCCAAAACATTTCTACAAAAAGAATGACATGAAAGTTCTACCCAAATATTTCCAAATTGGTAAGGTTATCGATTCACCTATGGATTATTATTCTAGCCGTCTCTCAAAGAAAGAGCGTAAGAAAACAATTGTGGACGAGCTTATGGCTGATGCAGAATTTTCCAAGTATAACAAAAGGAAGTATAAAGAAATCATCGATGAAAAGAAAAAGATGCATCGTAAAGCCTTTAAACATGCAAAACGGCTAAAAGATAAGAAAAAATGACATATTTAATACGTAAATCTTTAATAAAATTTAATCATAGTTCAAAAATATGTATCCAAAAGTATATGTTTTCAATGCAATCCTCCTGTAACTTCTATAGATGCTCCATTGATATAAGAACTATTGCCAGATGCTAAAAATGTTATTACTTCAGCCACTTCTTCGGGCTTCCCCATTCTGCGAAGAGGTATCTTATTTTTAAACATTTGTTTTACATTTTCTGGCACTGTTTCTGTCATAGGAGTTTCTATGAAACCTGGTAACACTGCGTTGACCCGGATACCAAATCTGTAAGAAAAATGTGTTTATGTTTTTATTGTTATAATTGCAATAGCCATGTCATTAAATATCATTGCAAGTAAACTTACTCCCCAAATTCAAAGGAAGCAGTCTTCGTCAGAGCTATGACACCGGCTTTTGATGCAGCATAATTAACTTGACCTATGTTTCCCACTTTACCAATAATAGAACTCAGATTTATAATCGAGCCATCTTTGTTTACTTTAGCTTCCAACATATGCTGAACTGCAGTCTGAATAATCAGAAATGTTCCCTTTAAGTTCACATCGATCACTTTGTTAAAATCACTCTCAGTCTGTTTTAGAATAAATTGATCACGTGTGATTCCTGCAGAATTCACTATGATAATTGGTGGTTTGTTGTATTTACTTGTTACACCCTTAAATGCTTCCTTGATGCTATCTGCATTCGAAACATCCAAATTTAAAGCCAGATGTTGTTTGGTATCTAAATTTAAAAAATGACGTTATTACATGGAACAAATAAAAGAATGAAACAATAGGCAAAGTAATTTATCATTATGTGTTCAGACCATTTAACGACTGGACAGTTTGTTGGGCAGACTGCAAATTTTGATCGGCAGCAATAACTTTGGCACCCCGATTTGCTAAAATTCGACAAACTTCTCTGCCTATGCCGCTCCCGGCACCTACAATTAAAAAGCAAGTGAAATTTTGATCTATCATTCGATTTATTTGATTTTCGATAAATACCTGTTACAAAAGCAAGTTTGCCAGCAACCATTTTCAGCCTTTTATCTTAAAAAGTACAAAGTCATGTTCTACAAATGTATTATGTAACAAGAATAAACCACGAGATCTGTAAAAATTAATTTCGGCGTGAAGCAGCCTTGATTTTGAATAGTTGTTTTTCTTTTTTGGTAAGACCATAGTCGGATGTACGCGCAACCAGTACGTACGTACGCAAGTCGCGGACCAATTAGGACGTACCAGTGTTACCTAGGTAACCGTACCATATGCTGCTGACGTCAAAGTACATACGTCTGCAGTGACGTCAGAAACGCAACGCAAGCACAGTGTAGTATGCTATGTTTACCCAAAAATTGAACTTGAATTGTATTCCTACTCTAAACGGGCAGTTCTCATTGGGGATGCAAACTGAGCTTTCACAATGCTCTATTAGAAATATAATAAAATGTTAATTATAATTCTACTTTCGAGCAAATGTGAATAAAATAAAAAGTGGTAAGTCGAATTTGTGAAACTTTCCTATCTAATGATATCAGAAAAAATATGTTTTTCCAACATGATTCTATATTCACGAAAGAAATGTGTATCAAGTAAAATATTTTCTGAAAAAAATACTAGTCGAATTATTGTTCACAGTTGACCGTTAACGGTGTGTTTATTAAATAATTTGCAATGGTAACCTGTTCATGGTTTATATTCGAACTGTCTCAATATCAGTTTTGACGACCTAACACATTAAAAATCTATTAACGTTACGAGTTCTATGAGGGAAAAAAAGGCAACACAGAATGAGACGTTAAAGATCGAAGAAATTCAGAATATAGAAGAACAACATTATTAGTAAAAGACATTGCGAAAGCAAAACAGCGTGCGAGAGAGCAGGTAAAATTCAAACGTCGGAACAGGAAGAAAATGAGTGGGAGGGGGCGGAACGGTTGGCAGCACCGGCGCTTCAAGAAACATAGCCCCGCGCCTCTGTCCTCGCTCCTGCATCGCTCGTGCCAGTTTTCTTTCGGAACGGCTCCAGAGAAGAAGTATTAAAAAGGGGGGGGATACGAGACGAGAGAGACGGTCGAAACGGAAGAATTTGTTGGCCGATCACGGGAATCAGCTCAGCACTGTTTAGAAACGAGGCGTTAGAAAGAAACAGGTTGGCGTGACGTTCTATCGCGTGGAAATTCGATGGCCGAGAGAGCCGAGGATAGACGACGGCGTATGCTGTGAAGTCGCGCATCGGAAAGTAGGTTCGACTCGGCTCGGCTCCGCGTAAGAAGAAGAAAGAGTGTCGAGGTAGGAGCGAGGAAGATCACGTATATAGAGAACCTAAGAGAACGAAAAAGAACGAGACTCAAAAAGGAAGAAAAGAAAGAGGTGTGCGACGAGGACGCGTCTGTGAGTCGCGCGAGAGGCGAGAGCGACAGAGCGGCGTGTAGTGAAAGCCGCGGTGAACCAGAGCGAGAGAAAAATTCGGCGGTAACCGGTAGTACCGAGGCTGCCAAGGTGTTCCGGAGTGCAGCAGCAGCGGCCCAGGATGCTGCCCGACGGAGCAAGAAGATGGCCGTGATCGGCGAGCAGAGGTATTACACGGCGGTACGTGCGAACGCGTACACGGAGCTTTCGTGTCGTAGGTTCGAGGCTGCGACAGCCGGGTCGCCGTCCTCCTTGTCCTCGACTTCCTTGTTTCCCTCGCATCGGCGTCGACCGAGGAAAAAGTCCACGCATTCACCCGGACGAGCAGCAATGTCATCTTCACGGGGTAGCGGTCCGGAATCGGGGGAGCTCAGCGACTCCGAGGACGGCTACTTGGACACGGTTCCCCTGAGGTACGAACTCAGAAATATACAGAATGTGATACACGTTACTCGCCAGAATATCGATGCCCTGAACAACCATATTGCTGGATTCCAACAACCGCCCCTGATATACCTGAACGAGTACCAGGAGCTGACCAGTAAGTTGCAAGATCTGGAATCTAAGCAGCAGAAACTGAACGAGTTGTTGAATCCCAGTAGAGTATCCGGCAGTGCTTCCACATCTGAAAGCGAATCTCGTGAGGCCAATGCCAACATCAGGGGTCAGAGAGTGCCTACGAGGTCTCTGCTCAGAGCTTATTTACCTAATCAACAGCGTACCAGCGTACAAGTACGTGAAGGGTTGCCACTGAGAGATGCGCTTGCCAAGGCAATGAAATTAAGAAATCTAACCACTGAAATGTGTGTGGTATACATCTTGGGTGCCGACAACTCCAAGTATCTCACATCTTGGGACACAGACATCTCTGTATTAGACTGCGATGAAATATCTGTGGAGATTTTGGATAAGTTTCCTATAACCACTTCCATTTCACACAATTTTGTGCGTAAGACTTTCTTCACGCTGGCATTTTGCGATTGGTGTAGAAAACTGATATTTCAGGGATTTTATTGTAGAACGTGTAATTATCGATTTCATCAAAGGTGTACAGGAGGTGTCCCTGCGTTGTGTCATCAAGTTCGTATGCAAGATGCTTACTATCAGGCATTGTTGGCGCACAATCTCGAAAGTACTGCTGGGATCCTGCAACTTCCACAGGATTACGGTTTGAGCAGAAGTATGTCGCCATCGCTTGCTCCGTCAAGAACGCAGAGGCACCCACGTTCTTTGGGACAACAAGACCGTTCCAGCTCTGCACCTAACGTATGTTTCAACATGGTGAAACCCAGCGGAGATTCTACTAATTTAGACGAATACAGTAGATCTCAGAGCTTAGGTCGACCTGTCGGCATCATTCAGAGTGCAGTGTCTCCTGGTAGCAGTCCAACCAAGCACAGTCAGTCGACGCAAGCTAGTCCTACCAGTACTTTGAGGCCAAAACGACCGAGGGCAAGATCAGCTGACGAATCGTCGAAGAATCTTCTAGCACCTAGGGAATCGATAGAAGACTGGGAGATTCCAGCAGACGAGATTTTGATAGGAGCACGTATCGGATCTGGTTCCTTTGGGACGGTATACAAAGCTCATTGGCATGGGCCCGTAGCTGTGAAAACGCTGAACGTTAAAATACCCACTGATGCTCAGTTACAAGCATTTAAAAACGAAGTCGCAGTTCTGCGAAAGACACGGCACGTGAACGTGTTGTTGTTCATGGGGTGCGTTAGCAAACCGCAGCTGGCAATTGTTACACAGTGGTGCGAGGGCTCGTCTTTGTATAAACATTTACATGTATTCGAATCGAAGTTCGACTTGTTCACGTTGATAGAGATCGGGAGGCAGACTGCACAAGGTATGGACTACTTACATGCAAAAAATATCATTCACCGGGATCTAAAAAGTAATAATATATTTCTGCACGACGACCTCACCGTGAAAATCGGAGATTTCGGCCTGGCTACTGCGAAGACCAGGTGGTCCGGTTCCCAGCAGTTCCACCAGCCGACCGGATCTATTTTGTGGATGGCACCGGAAGTGATCAGAATGCAAGAGGAGAATCCATACAGCTTCCAGTCGGACGTCTATGCGTTTGGTGTTGTTTTATTCGAATTGTTGGCTGGCCAGTTGCCGTATTCGCAGCTGAATAACAAGGATCAAATACTGTTCATGGTCGGACGTGGGAATCTGCGTCCTGATCTAAACAAGTTGCGCTCGGACACTCCAAAATCGTTGAAGAGACTGACGGAGGATTGCATCAAGTTCTCCAGAGAAGAGAGACCGATATTTCGTCAGATTCTGGCTAGTTTAGAGAGTCTACAGCGGGGACTACCGAAGATCACCAGATCCGCGTCCGAGCCGAACATGAACAGGACGCAGTTGCAATCGGACGACTTCTTGTACACCTGTGCATCACCAAAAACTCCAGTGAACTTCCAGTTCGGAGCATTCTCCTTCTATCCTTCCGGTGGGAACATATAATAGGAATATCATCTGGTAATGAGTCTGAGTCTAAGACCGACACAGTTCCCATAAATTGAGATATTTAAACAATTCAATGGAGAATATCGTAATAAACTTAGCTATGAACAATCTACGTAATTCTTTTCGAACTACACTTTGACTGTGTTGCATCCGTTTGCTCGATGTAGAATGTGATTATAAAAATACTTAACGCAAGTAACGGGAGAAACGAGAATAGAAAAGAAGGCTGGAAGAGAGAAAAAGAGAGATAGGGAGAGAGAAAGAGAGAGAGAGAGAGAGATGTCCATCTTAAGCAGGAGGGTGTAGCTTTTATCTTTACAAAACTTACTATCTGCGCGAGGGGAGGGGATTTTTATTTGACAGAGTCCCCGTCGCGCTTGTATAAACGCATACTTGTAGAAAAATGCGTGTGCACAACGCGCAGTCGGCGTTGGGGTCTCTGTTACATTTGCGGAATCCTTGTGAAGGATGTAAAAATAAAGTAAGTAATAGAAGTAAACGGCATTTAATTCGCGTGGGCCGTCATTCGTCTGTGGAAGTATTTTTGCAATGACCGAAGTGATTTTTGTACCTTCTTCCTTCGTATATCGTCTTGAATATGCTCACATGAGAATTGTTCCTTTGAGTAACTTGTAATTTATAGTCTAACGCCAGGGAGTTGGACGTATTTTCGACGTAGACTAAACTAACGGACGCTCTTTAGTGATAGTCGCAACAATTATGTTCTACGATAATTATCTTTTTCTTGTTCTTCTTTTAGTAGTTCTTCGCCATACTAAGTAACGTAACCGACTGATCATTGTTTCTTTCTTTCTTTTTTCTTTTTCTTTTTTTAGTTCTACATGCAATCCGTCACAAAAGTCCACGTTTCGTTTTCTTACGGTTATCATCTTTGTTGCAACAACAATAAACAAACTCGAACTTGTTTTCGTAGACGAATAGAATATTGCCATTTCACCGGGCACACGTAAATTTTTGTGACCGACTGTATATATTTGATTCTGTGAGTTGAACCGGGGGATACTCTTTCGAACGGTACCAAAAGATTTTCAGTAACATTGGAATAACAAACGAAAGTCCAGGAAAATGGTGGTACCCGTCGCTCGATCGATCGGTAGGATCGATCCAGCGAGTCGTACGTTTTGGCTTCGTGTACTTTTTCAGGGTTTGCCAATGATCAAGGCCTAATTCAATTCCTATTGATATAAAAGTATAACGAGCTCGTCGTCCGACGATTTAACGAAACGAAAGTCAACCGAGAACTGTTGAATCGTAATGTAGAAGCGCATCGAAGAAACGTTTATCGAAACAACTTTGTAGTCGACTTGTGTATTGTTCCTCGCACTTTTGTCTATTTATTAATCTTTGTCGTTATCTTCTGTAAGTTCTATTCGCACCGGCCCTCGAGACCCGCGATGCAGGAAGGGGCGCGAACTTCACTTCGAGATCGACGGATAACAAATTGCTGTCCTCTGGCAAAGGATATTTCGATCGGCAGAAGCATTCGGATCTATATAGCGAAAGTTTATCGTGTCGTCTCGCTTCGCGTATCGAAGTCAATTCAATTGTTGTTTATATTCTGTTTGTTCGGGGTTCGCACGAGCTTGTACGATCGAATACTTTCTGCCAGGGGCGGTATTCGTTGGTGTTTGCGTCGAAGACTTTTGCGTTACACGTGGCGACTTAAGCTTCCTTGGTTACGGCTGGAACGTGTTCGACACAGCGGCCCTCGGCAGCAGCGAACAAGTACGGAGGAAACGTGCGCTGGCCACGAACAAACAGAGTCGAACTTCAACAATCGGAGAATCTCCGGGTCGGTGCAACGTCGCCGAGAACGTTCCTGCAGCCCTTTGTTGATTCTTGCAATTCCGTGCCGCCGTTTCCCGGCCGTGAAAAAGGCCTAACAACAAATCTTCGAAATTCGCTGGTTAAAGACGAATCAAACGATCTTATTTCTAAAGCACCACGTGGCAGCCTCGATTTATTATTTATTTATTTATGGCGTAATCCTTAGTGTGATGAACTGCGATCGAAAGAGAGAAAAACGTGGAGAAAAAAAGAAGAATGACGGACAAACCGAGGGGAGAGCCAACGGTTATCGAGAGAAAGAGAGAGAGAGTGTGTGTGTGTGTAAGGAAGAAAGGGAGAGCGAATATGTGTGAGAGAAACGACGCGGACTCCGGAATCGTAGTATAAAGAGGACGCGTGGGAGAAAGAGAGAGAGAACAAAAGGAAGAAAAGGGGTGAAACGATAGGACGGGAGCGTTAACTGGAGCAAAGTAACGCACTCGTCATCGTTAATGACGTTTTCTCGTAACAGGGAAACAGTGAATCATGAAACATAATTAACGATGCTGAAAAAAGTGTCGGAAAAATAAAGGGAAAAAAAGAAGAGAAGGAGGACGTAGGGTAGCGGGGCGATGAAGAGTTCTTAATTGTTTTCCAAAATTACCTGACGAAACAGCCTTCGAAACGACTATGTACGCAAAACTCTTGCGACCAATTCATCTGTTTGTCTCTTTACGTCCGTTTGTCTCGACGATACATCGATGGATGATTGAGAAAGTTCTGTTCAGTTGATTACCAACGAATCATCGAGTAGGGGATGAAACGTGTAGTTTCGACGCCCGAGCCTCGCGTCCTTCGCGATCGATAATTCCTGTTTATCATTGTGAAATTTTCGAACGTTGTTTTCTCGGAAGACATTCCTCTGTGCATTGCTTCGATGTGTATCGTCATACACGTTAGAACGGTTTTCGTGCGGTTCCGAGCGATTGAACGCGTTTTCGTGTCGTACTCGAATCCTCAACGAGCAGAAACCACGAGAGTAGATGTCGTCTCGGACTAAAGCTCCGAGCTTACAGCACCGATTATAAGCCGGGGGACTATCGCTTGATCCGATCCTATCGAATCCCGCCCACGAATTTCTGTAACGGGTCCGACACGGAACAAACGATCCGCCGAGATTTTTTTCGTTCGATCGACGGTCGTCATTCGCCGCGTCGCGTCGTCGTAATTCAATTTCGGCTTCGTTTTCGGTCAAATCACGCTGAAGCTGCTGTCAACTGCAACGCGTTTCTTGCGACAAGATGGCGTGGCTGAGATTGGAGATACTTAATTCGATCAATCGTGACTACCGATTGATTATTGTATTCAACCAAAAAAAAACAAACAAAAAATAAAAAAAATTGACTCTTCATGTAACGAATCTACTTTCTTCTCTTTTTAGAAATCAGATCCCGTGGATGAATCCCAAATTATTTTCAATTCATCGATCAAAATGAGGATAACGTTATTGTTGTTATATAATCTTACACACTGTATACATTTTGCTACAAACAATATTGCTCCTGAAACAGATTTCTTTTAAAATTCGAATAGTCAGAAACTTGTACCGCATTCACATAATTTATGTACTTTTATGGTTTTATATTATTGTGTTTACATTTCTATCTTTCTACCCATATTTTATCCTGTTCTGTTGTACTCTTGATATTACTAAATTATACTAATAATTATTGTTGCATAATAAAATAACGTGGCACGATCAAAGTAGTTTCTTTCGCGAGAAGTTGCAGCCGTTGTCATTTAATTTTCAGCGTAAATCATTGGAAAGATCGTTCAAATACAGTGCAGTTCCCGCCACGGACGATCTACAGGCGTGTTTGTAAACGAACGCACGCCGCGCAGACGCTTGCCGCGAAGGTAAGCTCTTGCGCATGTGTTCGTGAAAGTGTGCGATACCCGACTCCGATGTTGGTGCGAACACATATCCAGCAGGCGTGTAAGTGTAAGTTGCACGACGTTTCTGGTGCGTGCGTACTCGCGGTGCTCGACATATACAGGACGTCCCATCGATCATGATCCAACTAATTGACAGTTGCAGCATCATTTACCATGATCTGCATTATAATCATTCGTTCGTCTATTATTTGTGACTTCAAAAATTCAAATTTAACTTAACAAAATGGGCCGTATCTTTCGGTCGACCTGATCCTTGAGATTTGTAGGAGAAAATTCGATCACGTGTGATCTTATTTTCATGAGAATCGAATTTAAACATTTGTCGGATACAGGTAAGGGATCGAGGAACTACACGTTTAGTTTATATTTTCCGATATTAATGTCGTAGAAGAGACTGCATATTATTTTTCCACGATTAATCAATTATTTCAGGATGGTACCGCGGCGATTGATGCGCGCTGTAGTCGTATGTATGTTTGTAGGTGGGAAGTACAGAGGGAGCGCGCATGCGCAAATCCAGCTGGCGCCTCGGCCGGCTGAATAGTCGATGCTGGAAGCTCGTAGTGCGAGTGTCTGTGTTTCTTCGTCCTTTGCGCCTTGCCGTGCTCGCGACCCGTACATGAATTCTATACATACACGGTCTATAGAAGCAAAGCAAAGAGGTTCTCGTTCACGTTGACTCGCGCTATCCTCGTGAACAGGTGGACGTCGTCGAGGTCGCTCGCCTTGCTACACGAAACGAGGTTAGTCGACTTTGAATCGAATTTCGAGCAACACGTCGTCCTGCGAGGGGAACGACACCGACACCTACATCTGTCCCGCACGAATCGTTCGCCGAATAGAAAAAACCCCCCTCTGCGCGTGTTTAGCTCGGTGTGGTTGGTTTTGACCGCGAGTGACTGTCGCGTGTGCGTGTGACAGCATCACCGAACCCGTGGAAAATCGAGAGCGATCCAAGGATCGAGCTCGATCCTTCGTTTCACGCGCGGAACGTTCGACCGGGATACATCCGACGAAAATAGTATCGCGTGGTTGGTTCTAGTTTAGCCGTGGTTGCAACGAAAATCCTAGCAGCGTGTCTAGGGTGTTCCGTCGATATCCAGGGCGACGGTCTCGAGAAGAGGCAGCGCCGAATAATATCGATACGAAGGCATGCTCGGACGTTCGCCGATCAATGTAATGGATCGAACACTCGCGTTTCGATAATTAGTGGATTTGTCGAGGGCCGATGCGATCGTTTCTGCCCTCGAACGTGACCGTTCGAATCGAAAACGTAATCGGTCAAAATCGGAAAGGTCGATAATGCGTCGGTTGTTACTGTCATCCAAATATAATTATCGTCGTTGGTTATTTAAGAGATTCGCCTTAAAGTATATGCGAAGAACGTAGTTCTCCGACGATAGCAGCTACAGTGTCCCAGATCCGTTAAAATTCTTATTCAACTTTTCTCGAAATTCGTGCGGCCGTTTCTTCGGGACACGTCGCGTCTTGCTGTCGAAACTGTCAATTAATTAATTAGTCGTCGATCGAAGGCTGATGTAAAATGAACCCGTGTTTGTCGCAACTCCGATACGTGTAACGGAAAATTCGATTAATCGAGAATCGAGTTGCAACGAATCGCGGCCGCGGGCTTGGAGGGCTGTCTCGCCTCGGCGAGGGATCATTACGGTAACGTAATACGGCCGCTAATTAATCGCGTTCGACGGGGATTCAAAGTAAACGACATTGACCGAGAAATGGGAAAGCGATCGCCGCGTAGAAATTTTCTGCCACCGCCGCGCGCATTATCGAGTGCTGACACGGCGCGTCGATACGTGTCAAACGAGCCTTTCCTCGGGTGCAATTAGTAGACAACGGTTGATCATGCAATTTACAGCGCACACGTTTGTTCCGAGAGAGAGGGAGAACACACACATTTTAATATACGGTTTAATCAAGTTTCACGGGCTTTTCATCCCATTTGCAAACTGATGGACTATTTAACCTGTTAACCGATCGATCTCTCCTTTTGCTAGTTCAACTATTTGCTCTGATTACAATCGAATGCGATAGACTGCGAATAGATAAGAAAAATTAAGCGTGCTTAGAGGTAACGATTAGGCGTTGGAGGACAGGTTAATCTTTGTGTCAGCAAATAAATTTTTGATCAGCTTTCGATAAGTTCCTACTCGAAACGCTAACGGATAAAGCGTGTAGAGAAATTTTGACGAAACATCGACAAAGATGTTGAAAGTGGACATATTGACGTAGTTGTTGACAGAAAGGTTACCGCTCGACTCCAGTGTCAACGAGTACGCGGATAAAACTGCGGATTTGCATAAATATTAGCTTGGTCTGGTAATTACCGTGAAAGGCGCGCGCCTGTTTGTGATCGCTGGAAACATATAAGCATACGGTGACTTTCTCTTTGTGCCCGTAATTCAATATTTCGACGTTTTGTTTCGCGACTTGCGACGAAACCGCGACGACGGGGATTCGATGGGAAACGTGTTCCGGCGATATTATATTTTTAAACCAGTTCTCGCCGACGAACCGAAGAACCGAGGTTCTTCGTTGACGGACGACCGCGCAATGTTACCGACCGCATTCTTATCGCAGTTCGTTCCGATAAGAACTGTTGACAACGACGCTGCGCCCGTAGATTTTTCACAGGCCAACTGAAACCATGTTGCAACTTGCAACGGTCGTCGCCACAATTCCCGCGCGATTTTCAAACTTCGAACGTCGCAGATTTCTAAGTGGAGGAAAGTCGCCGAATGTGGAACACCATGCAGTTTTACCGTGCCGTTCTTACAAAGTCAACATTGCAACAAATAAAAGATTTTTATGGACGTCGATAACAATAACAATATCAAACAATTGTCAATGTTGAAATAATTTCAAAAGATGGTAGAGCATACCATACGTGGAATTGGTTCCGAAATATGGAAAACACAAAATTGTTCTTATATTTATTACAACGCTTTGATTACGATCTTCGAATTAAAATACACAATTAAGTAGAAATTTCATGTAAAGAAATAGTTATTTTCGTAAAAAGAAGATAATTTTTTTCTTTTATTGATTAAATTCTTCAGTTATAATATTATATTTGAAATGAAATTAAATTAAAAAAAATGTTTAGAAAGATGGACCTATAGTATTCTGTTCAAGAAAGAACACGCGCATCATTCTAAATACGTATGAATTTTAGAGGCAGGTATATAAACAATAAAAGACGAAACAAAAAAGCATGGTAAATTAATTTTAAATCATTCATTCATTCATTCAACTGACGAGCCATCACATACACGGCCTCCAAGTGCGCGCGCGCGTGTGTGAGACAGTCGGTAAACGTTTCACCGATATTAATTCGTTAGATTCGTAAAAATAGCACAATTCCTTATTTAGATACGTATGCATATTTGCCGACGTTTCTCTATCTACAAATGAACCACCTATTCGAGCATTGTCCTTATCGAGAATTATCAAGCGGTCATTGCTTATCGGGTTTCAAGATACAAGTTCTGTTAATCATTTCACGTCTTCGAGGGTACATATACCGTGAACTGTTATCTGGCCGGTGCTTTCTCACCCCTCGCACCGAAAACTGTCGAAACGTCGACGCTCGGTTGCCGGGAACGGTGTAATCTCCCGACGAAAAATCTTCCAAGGAAAAAATCGATTTCTAAACTGGTCAGTGCTTTTTCACCCCTCGCACCGAAAACTGTCGAAACGTCGACGCTCGGTTGCCGGGAACGGTGGTAATCTCCCGACGAAAAATCTTCCAAGGAAAAAATCGATTTGTAAACTGGAAGTTCATTAGAGGCTAGAAACGGGCGAGATAAAGCGGGACGTATCTGGGGTATTTTTTGTTGGCCTGTGCCTTGTGGTTCCCTCTCGATTTCCCCGGATCAGATAGTGGACAGTGCTATCGGCGAATGCATCGTGCACGCGTGCCGCTAATTGCCGGCGTCTTATTACCGGTCCCCGGTATCTCCCCTGCAATCGATGCTCTAACGAACCCGTATTTTCCTGGTTTGTAGCGTCGAGCCCGATAATCGAATTCCACCAACCGGACCGAAGGAAGACGCCGCTCAGCTGCGGACAGAGACGAAGGGAGAAGACTAAGGGGGATCGGACGTCGTCGTCCCTCTGACAGTCCTCCCCGGATCGTTTTCAGCCGGCTGCACACGTTTCCAGCGACGTTCATCGACGGCCTCGAACGAGCAACGCCGACGAAACTGGAGCGATCGTCGGCCATAAGGAGCGCGATCGTGGTGGCTCGGCCTTGAAACGCCCGTTGCGACTTTAATCGCGTTCGATTGTACCAATTCGATCCTGCGATGGGGCGAGGCTGCTCGATCAGCGGCTGCGATTCGGTGAACCGGTAAAGTCGCGGTCGGCGACTGTATCCTCCTTGTCCCCGAGTCGCGAGGGCAAGTAACGGAGGTCGGTGAACGAATGCGCGGACCCACGACACCGGAGGATGCCCGGCTGGCCCCGTTCGACATGGGATAGATGATAGATCGCGAATAATGGGGTGGTAGAGCCAGCGGGAAACGCAAAATGGATTGGGTGTCTCGGCTCAGGTAGCCAGAGACTACGACGGAGTCGCGGGCGCCGGAGCGAGACGAGCCCTGATAAACCAGTGCGAGACTTGTGCCTCTTGCGACGAGCTGACGTGTCCGGATCGAGGATCCAGGATTTGCCGAGTCCGATCCACCAGAGACTGCGCCGTTTCGCGGAAAGACTGAACGCCGGCAGAAAAGAAAAGACTGACTCGATCGAATCATCCCCGCGGTCGTTGATCCATCGGCTACATATCGTGTTCCTTAGATTCTGCCTTTCTCTACGTTTTTCTCCTTCTATCGTGCTCTTTGCCCTCGCATATCTTTCAGAAATTGTTCAGCGTGGATATACGCAAGTGTAGCCCGCGCGTACCTCTAACCGGAACTCTATTGCTGCCTAAACGCGCGCGCGCGACACCCCTTTTTCTACGGTGAAAAGCACCTGACAGACTTGTATCGTGCGAACGAGATTCTAGTTTCGCTCCGGGAGAGACGACTTTCCGTTTCGGAGTACTTGTCGTGCAACAGAGACTCCGATACCGATCGAAACCGGTGAGACAAAGAGAAAGAGAGAGAGAGAGAGAGAAGCGAAAACTCGTAATAGAGCAGGATGGGTTGTGGACAGAGCAAGATCAGCAACATCTATCCGAAGAACAAGAAGAACAAGAACAACAGCGGCAAGAAGAACGGCGAATCTGTGGGTGAGTGCCTCCATTCGCTTCCATGATTTCTGTGCGTAGATAAACTAGTATACAGATTGGATTGCCATTTATATTAGCATTTTGATTTCTGTTGAAAAGTTAATAGTTCAGCTGATAATTGAAACAATTCTAAATTAAAATTACAGCCGCATTACGACGTAATTTCCATATTTACTAACGTTAGCGTAACAAATTGTTGTATTCGGTAGGATTATTCAAATTGAAATATCTCCCAAACCATTAACTTTTCGTCAGAAGTAGGTTAATAGTTCAGTTGATAATTGAAACAATTCTAAATTAAAGTTACTACCGCATTACGACGTAATTTCCATATTTACCAACGTTAGCGTAACAAATTGTTGTATTCGGTAGGATTATTCAAATTGAAATATCTCCCAAACCATTAACTTTTCGTCAGAAGTAGGTTAATAGTTCAGTTGATAATTGAAACAATTCTAAATTAAAGTTACTACCGCATTACGACGTAATTTCCATATTTACCAACGTTAGCGTAACAAATTGTTGTATTCGGTAGGATTATTCAAATTGAAATATCTCCCAAACCATTAACTTTTCGTCAGAAGTAGGTTAATAGTTCAGTTGATAATTGAAACAATTCTAAATTAAAGTTACTACCGCATTACGACGTAATTTCCATATTTACCAACGTTAGCGTAACAAATTGTTGTATTCGGTAGGATTATTCAAATTGAAATATCTCCCAAACCATTAACTTTTCGTCAGAAGTAGGTTAATACATTTTTACAACTAACGTCGAGCTGCATCCATCGACGTATTAAAAATACATCATTCCATTTGAAACATCAAAGTTGACCCACATATGACCTACACGCGTCCACTCGCGAAAAAACTAATGGAACTAGAATATGCCTCACTCGATACCGCTCAAATCTCCTTTGAAATATTTTTCGCTCTCTCTGCGAGTAATAATAATCATCCAAATCGAAGTGATCCACCCTGTACACGCTGATGTACCAGTATGTACATACACATGTATCAGGTCTACCGGAAAGTTCTGTCCGATAGTGTCAGTTCAAGTTTCAATCCATATGCACATGTTGATTCGAGGCATATATGACTATCTCTCTTTATCATTGCATTTACACACATCTACTCTCCTAAATAAACTGAAACAAAGATGTCTCATGTCATTATTAAGTGAGACGCGATCGTGAAAACATGGTTACCGATGATAATGCCGGACCACATGCTGCTTTGGCGACTCGTCAGAAAATCGCAGAGCTAGGCTGGGAAATTCTGTCGCATCCACCATACTCCCCAGACACCAGCACCCTCCGATTATCCCTTGTTTCACTCTTTGCAAAACTTTTTACAGGAAAAAAATTCAAAATTGAAGCTGATGTCGACCAAGCACTAGTCGAGTTCTTCGCCTCTAAAAATAAATCATTTTTTAAACATGGCATTTACAAGTTGCCATCGCGCTGGCAAGAAGTCATAAGTAACGTTGGAAAGTACATTCTACAATAAATATTATTCAATGTATGAAAATTGTGTTATATTTCGATTCAAAAACGGACAGAACTTTCCGATAGACCTAATAGATGTACCAACATACATATATGCGGACATAGCAGCAGCACGAGCATTCGAACCAGCAACAATTTCTGCCGCTAATGTTTATCCGAACGCAATCTCCCTCAAAATCTTAGCTCCCGTCGCCGCGGCGATGCGAGCTCGCGACAATAATCACGCCTGTTAGCAGACGCGGCAGAGACCGGCATTGTTCGCGTAATTAACGTCCCCGCTCGTCAATCTCGATCCGCCGCATAATCGTTGACCCGATCACTGTAATTAAGCAGATGCTTAATCTGGGCCATCAACGCCCGTCGCTCCAGATCCTCCTCGTTGAAGGGTGATTAAACGAAATCGTCTCGATTACCGCCGCCGTTTCCTACTATCACGGAGAAACAGTCCGATCGCGAGGGTTGCGTTTCTTGGCCCCCGAAGTTCGCAGCCTCCCGACGACGCTATCTTCGACGACACTATGGCAGCGTGCTTTAGGGGTCGCCTTAGTTAGGATCGTAACAATCCAATGTTATCGCCGCTTCCATACCCCAAGTTCGACCACTTCGGAACCTCGGAGCATCCCCTAAATTCTGCATTCTCGCACTTTCCAAAAATACCGTAGGAAATCCGCGTCGCTCAGGCGACGACCCATTTCCTCGGAGCGAATCCATTATCGATACTAACGTCTTTATCGCCCGATTAGTAGCAATCGTTGACTCAGAAGTGCCAGATTAGAAACAGTGCAATCTATTCTCTGCGTTTCCTGTTTTCTTTTGTTTTTTGTTTTTTGACACGGGCGTTACCGACATTATAGATAAACGGCTAATTACGGACCGAACGGAATTCATTAGTCACCTGTGACACGTCGGTGTCACGCAGGTGAGAATTCCACGATTTCCCGATGATCGAGCACACACACCGGTTGACTCATCAACCGCATTCTACAGGTCGATCGATACGCGAGGCTTCATTGAATTCGTTATCGATCGATTCTATGCCGTAATCACGACAGAATGGGAGCTTGGCGGAGCCAGGGGGGGAACGATAGGGGACAAGCAACGTGCGTACGTGAACACGTACACGTACGAACACCTACGCACGCGTAAGTCCCTTGCGTCGATCGATTTTCTCGGTCGCGCGAACGCGGTATAGCGCGTGGTTCGAGGTGGATTAGGCATCTCCTCGGGATAGGTCGCGCGAAAAGGGGAGCCGTAACCTTTCCAACGATAATGTGACATTCAGGAACCTGTTGTTTCGTTGACCGCTCGTCTCGGTTTCGCCTATCGTCTTCAGATCGCCGATCGCGGGTCCCGGAGAACGCGGCTCTCGTCCTCGTCCACGGACAAAAGAAGTCGAACGGTTTCGTCGGGGATGCCGCGAGGATAGTCCGGCACTTTTCGTGGAAATGTACGAGCAGCGCCGTCTATTTCGAGCGGTGTTTGTCGGCCTGATTCCACCGGGAATAAATTATCTGCGGCGATTAAGCGTTGATAGATTTTCTATTCGGCGGAGTCACGCGACCCAGATTCGTCGGCTCCGAGGGACACCGAGGCCGCGTCCAATCTCGCCGCGGTTTTTATTCTCGCTTTCCGTAAACAGCACCAACAATTTTATCCGACGCCGATATTTTACTCGCACCGATTTGGTCGGTGACCAATTCCGATCGATTCTTTCGTCGACATTTTCTCGAGTTCCCGCGAAAATTACTTTCGATCATCAGATGCTCCCCAAAACGAGCCTGTTCAGATTTTGGCTAAGAATTTTCACAGCACCGATGCTAAAAAAACATTCGACTTCCTTCCACGATCGGGCATTCGTTTCACAGAATTTAATAAAATATTTTTTAAACGAAATTACAGGCTTAACACTGCATAAGTCGCATTTGTGCTTATCTTCGCGACTTAAATGCTTCGCGCGTTAAGTGCCGCGCTAAGTGCCCCCGGAAAGGCACGAAAAAGCAGAACAACTTGTTTAACAGTATAACAAGCAGAGTAGGCAAGATTTGTTATCGCGATTTCTTCTGTAATTCCACCGCATTTGGCGTACTTAATGGTCACACATGACCGACGTGTAGCAGTCGACGTGTGAACCGATGTTCTCGTCGTAATTGTCGCTGAAGCAGAAAAATGTGAACGTTTTTCTTCCAACACTCCGCCACAGGGACGTCCACGAAGTATCCCGAGCAACGGTTCAAACGAACGCACGAGAAAATTCGAGCCGATCTCGTTGGAAATAAAAGCGAAAACCGGTTGATCTCGTACGCCTCGAAATCGCGCGACGGATCGCGGTTTGTTGTTTACCGGCTTCGACGTCCGCGAGCTAAATATATCGCGCGATAATTCCGATATTTATATCATTAGGATGGCTTCGCTTCGGCGGCGCGGCGCCTCCAGTGCATTCCGCTCGTCTAATTCGCGACCGTTCGCCGAGATTACGCGTCCTTAGTCATCCGGCCGCTGATTTAAACGGTAGCAACGACAATTCTTACAGCACGTGCAACGATTAATGGACGAAATTCCGGCTAGCCGCCGCTAGAACTTCGCTGCCAAAGTTTCCTTCGTTGTGTCGTCCCCGAAGGACCGACTGGAACAATGGCTCGATTATGAAAGTCATTGGAATCGATGAATCACAGCCATCGGGAGCTATCCCGCTTATTCTGAAGTAGCCTGTAGAACCTATCAGCTCGCGATGTTTGCCATCATCTTATCGCCGGTTTTTGCAAATTTCACGACTGCGCGCTGAGCACGAAAATAATCTTGTTGTTTACGAAATTATCGTGAATCCGATTGTAATTTTATAGATAAGTGTACGGTTGTCGCCGGGTCTAAGTATATTTTTAGGTCTGGGAAAAATATCTGTTTACGCGCCGGATATCCGATAATGCATTTGACCCTAGAACGATCCCCTAGAGCTTCCCGGCGACCCCACAAAAAATTTTTAATTTGTCTCTGCAAACATGTAAATATATACTAAGGACATTGAGATTATATATTATATAACCTATAATGTATAATAATAACAATAATAATAATAATAATAATACATATATGTTTTATTATTATATTTTGAAAATAAGAAATAATATTTTAATTATTAAGATTTTATTATCTTAGGTCGTCTGTTACTTGTACCAAAAAATAAGAGGGGGTCGTTCTAGGATTAAATAACGACATATCGTGAATCTTCGTCCATCTCATTGATCTTTCGGAAATTAATTTTTCAAGATCCGAAATGGTTAAATAAGTAGTCGTTGTGATAATAATCGCCTCTGCAGCATCGGTTTTATAAACGCAGTTGAATATTAATTACAATTCGACTTAGAACTCGTGGTCGGTGCGTTGGTGCGGTTCGAATTTGGCGCGCTCGAGATGCGCAAGGGGATTTTCAATTTTCCAGGGAGCATGAAAAGCTGCGCGCGCAGTCGGTGCACAGTTTCCATCGGCGTGCGACGT